CAGGGTTAGGCGTGCAAGCTGAGGCTCGGTGCTGCAGCGGTGGCCCGGCAGCGTTCTGCAACCCACTTCCGGGGCCTCGGGCTGGGAGCACTTGCTGCTGCAAGGTGGCTGTGCTGGCTTCTGCTGCCCTTCTCTCTCAGGGCACTTTGAATACATTCCTTTCTGCTGAAATCCATCGACTTGTTTCTCCAAAAGTACAAGTTCACCCAGGCTTCTGTATCTTCCTCAGGTCTGTTTTTTTTTTTTTTTTTTAATGATATGCCTTTCCATCTAGTATCATCCCTAGTGGTAAACCATCTAAAAATCAGTATGCTAGTTTCTTCTCTCTTTTCTTTCTCACTTGAATTTTTTTCTTTTTTTTGATCATGGAAATATCCCCAACTTACACACAAGAGATGACTGCACTGACTTCCTGTAACCCATCTTACAATTCCAGCAGTTGATCATTTAAAAAAATTTTTTAAATTGTTGATCGACCTTTATTTATTTATATGTGATGCTGAGAATTGAACCCTGTGCCTCGGACATGCCAGGCAGGTGCAGTTCCGCTGAGCCCCAGCCCTGTCTTTTATTTTTCAACTTTCTTTTCTGTGACTTTTTGGGAATAGAAAGAAAAGAGAGAGAGTGATTCAATGACAACTCCAAGACATCACATCATCTCACCCATAAATACTTCATCAAAATAGCGACATTTACTGAGCATCATTCACTGTGTGCAGTCCATATCCAAGCTCTCTCTTTTCCTCAGCTTGAGATTTTATAACTGGTTTACTCGAATGAGGCTCCACATACATTTCCACATAATGTACTTAAGGACTATGTCTCTCTTTTCCCCCCAATTTACCATTTATTGATACATAATTCACATACCCAATAGACCTCTTAAGTCTCCTTCAGCCTGTAGCAATTCTTGCTTTTCCTTACTTCATGCTATTAATTTTTTAAAATTATCATTGTTATTATTATTGCAGAATTTCTGGATCTCTGGTCAACTGACTGCGTTCTTTGGTGCCAGTATCCTGTTCCTCTCACTCATTCTTTTCCTGTAAATTGGAGGTTATACCTAGGGGCTTGATTACATTCAATTTTCATGGTACTTAGGTTTCTCCCCTCTCCTTTTCTTTTTTCTTTTTGGAAGGTCTAGCTTAGTCACATCTCCAGGAATTCTTCCTCACCACCCACCCTCAGGGGCTAGTGTTGCTCTTTTCCTGGACACGAGCAGAGTTACCTGTCTTTGTGGTGCATTGCATTATGCCTTTCCTGTTTCTTTTTCTTGGTGCATATTAATTATACAGAATGGTGGGTGTCACTGTGGACTATTGGTACATGCACATAAATAATGTGATCAACTTTGCTCCTTGGTAACTCCCCTTAACCTCCCTTCCTCTCTTTTCCTGAACCACTTACTCTACTCTAATGAGCTCTCATCTACTTGAAAGACACCCCAGCTTTCTTCCCTAGTTTCTACATATAAGAAAATCACACAACACTTGTCTTTGAATCTAGTTTTCTTCACTTCATGTGATGCTCTCCAGTTCCACCCATTTTCCTGAAGATGACAGCATTTCATTCTTCTTGGTGGTTGAATAAACTCCATGGTGTGTGTGTACCTTTTTTCTTTATCCACTTACCTGTTTATTGGCACCTGGGCGGGTTCCGTAACTTGTGCTGTGATAAACATGCCCTTTCCTATTTCTAAAAAGGCAGGAGCCCTGTCCCCAATGCAGACACCATACACATGTCATTGCCTAGCGTACACTGCCTGGCACAGGTAGGTGCTTTGTAGAGAATCCTGAGCTCCGTGGACGTGAGGGGACAACCATAGTCCAGCGATCAGCTGCTTAGCTCTGCTGCTCTCTGTGAGGCTTCTCACTGTGCCGTCCGTCTCAGCTCCTCACTGTGAGCTCAGGAGGGCAGGGATGAAGGGAAGTTAATTTTTGTAGCTGAAGTGCGTAACACAATGCCATACTCACACCTAGCACCTGTTCAAGGCACAGTGACCTGGAGGAGTCCCTTGCTCATCCATCCCTGCAGAGTTGCTAGGAGCGCCAAGAGGAGGTTACATGATAAGTGTACATGAAATGTTAAAGATGTAATATTAATAATGATAACTGTAGTTCATTCCTCTCACACCTAACAATCACAGCCCTCGGTTAGAGTGTACAGAACTCTTGATGCATTACCTGTTTCTAGAAGGGGTATCTGCTCTCAGTTTTTAACTCAGAGAAATCACAGAGAATGTCCATCAAGTAGCCAACTTTTGTTATGGGATCAAGGTCTGGCAGCCTGTCGGATGTTATCCACCTACAGGAGCAATGGCTTCTTAGGGTGATGATACAGGGGCTGGGGTCACATGCCTACTCCCATGGGAGGCACATGGCGCTGTAAGGCACAATCCTGGGAGGTTTTCCTGAACAAGAACCGGATGAGACTGATGAAGAGGATCAGGGGAAAATAGCTCTCCATGTGAACCTCAAAGCAACCTCAGCTCAGGGCTCTGTGCCCTCAGGTCTCTCTGGAAGCTGCACTTGGCTGGAGGCAAGCTTGGGAGTGCTGGCTTTCCTGACGGGTCCCCCCACCCCCCACAGTTGAGGCTGATCCCTATGTCTGGCAGGTGACTGGTGCAATGCGTAGCATAATGAAGTGTTTCATTGCAGTTTGAAAACGTTATCATCCTCGGTTCTAGCATGGGGTCTGTGACAGTCTTCAAAAGATCAAAGGACCAGCATTTTGCTTCAGTTTGTGTTTTCTAAGAAGAGGGTCTGTAGCTTTTCTTGGATTAAAGAGCTTCTGGTCTGAGCCAAGAAACTAAGAAGACGCCAGTGTTCCTCCTCCACCTAACGCTGGACAACAGTTTGTTATTGTGCAAGAAGTTTAGTGTCTCTGGCCCACACTCCTTAAATGTCTGTAATAGCTCAGTTTTAGTCAGATTTTTTTATAGCTGTGACCAAAAGACCCGACAAGAATAATTTAGAGGATAAGAGTTTATTTGTGGTTCATGGTTTCAGAGGTCTCTGTGTATAGACGGGCAACTGCATTGCTCTGGGCCTGAGGCGGAGCAGATCATCATGGCGGCAGGAAGTGGAGGAGGAAAGCAGCCCAGGACCAGGCAATCAGGAAGCAGAGAGAGCTCTGCTCACCAGGGACAGAATATAAACCTGCAGCTACACCCCGGTCATTCACCTCCTTCAGCCATACCCCACCTGCCTGCATCACCCCCCAGTTAATCCCTATGAGTAGATTAATGCACAGATCAGACTCTCATAATCCAATCATTTCACCTCTGAACCTTCTTGGATTGTTTCAGACCTGAGCTTTCGGGAGGTCACCTCACATCTAAACCATAACAAGCTCCAAGTTATGCAGATCAATCCTCCCCCCAAACACCTAGATGGAGGGCAGGCAGAAGAGTTGAGGAGGCAAGACCGCTCACTCCCTTCGGCTCTCCTCTTAACCCTTCTTTACTTCTGACATCTGATTTCCAGTTGTTTCTCTGTCCAGGAATAGCCTGCTGCCCTTAGGGGGGCTTCTGATATTCTGTTGTAGGGTTGCCATAGTGCTGTTAGAGTAAGGACCTATAGGGAATGTTTAGAGGACTACATTTTATTATGGGATTTGGGCAATTGCTATTACAACAGAGCGAGTCTCCTGTACTTTTCCCATTCTTACAGAGAGCCTCAGCTCTACAATCAACCCATCCCTTGGGAGACATTTTTCTGGTGTGAAATTAAAATGCTTTATTGAGAGTCAAAACCGGCATCTCCTAGGATATCATCTTCTTAGAGTTTTCTCCAAGGCTAGCCATTTCGTTTATTACTTCTGGAAGGACTAACACAGAGATGTTAGTGGGAAAAGAATATCTTCAAGATCAAATTAAAAAACAAAAAGAGGATAGCCATTGAGAAGATTTTTTATTATTATTATTATTATAAATCACTCTCACATCTGACCTTGCAGCACCTTCTAAAACAGACTTCCCAATCTCCTCTTCGGTAGATGAGGACTCCGGGTCTTCTAGGAATCAACTGGCGTCCCTGAGGGGCAGGGCACTTAGAAGGACCGCTGATGTCAACTCTGAGCCTTTTCTACCTCCAGACGCTACCCTCTAGCTCTGTCCCGCCGCCCAGAAGGCTCTGACTCAAGACATTTTTTACAAAAGGAAGACATTTCCTGGAACTAGCCGGAGGGCGAGGCTGGAAGTACCAATGAGCTGAAGCCGAGTCTTTTATTCTACTACCTGAGCGCTGGGAAGCTCAGAAGGGGCATGACAGCCTCCTTCCAACTCCCAGCCGACTGAGGAATTGAAAGCAGACGCTAATGACGTCGTTTTGTAACTTCGTGCCTTTTAAAATCGACGGGCTCTTTAAAGTGCTGCTTTAGATTAGAGGTGGCTGTTGGATAAGGCGGGGAAAGAGCCGCTCTGCTGAATGTTATTATAAAAGCCCACACTGGGTTGGTTCCAGAAAAGCGACGCGCAGGAACAACTTCTCCAACTGTGTTTTCATTACGCAGTGAAGAAAGTTCTGACACTCAGCTCCAATCCTAGGACAAGCTGACAATGTCGCAGCATCCCAGAGACGCGCGAGGACTGCTAGGAAGTCCTTTAAGTTGAAGACAGACGTGCATGCGGAAAGTTTCCAGGACCCAAACCCTTCGCTATTTTATTTTTAAGACGAGGTCCCGGCGCGCCCTAGCAGCTGTCCACCCAGGAGGAGGGGCGACGGCGAGGGCGAAGGCGCAGGCCGAGTTCGCTCTTATTAATATTAAACAGCCGGGTCTACCCTTGAAGCAAGTGGGGAGAGGAGGCGAGCGCTCCTGACATTGACAGTGAGTCCAAACAGGAGTTGCGCTGGCGGTGCCCACCACGTGGCCTCCCGCCGGGCCTTCTGGGAGCTGTAGTTTTCCGGGGAGCCGCGGCCGGGGCGATCTGGGGTGCCCCGTGCCGGCGGACTACAGGTCCCAGGCGCCCGGGCCGGGAGCGCGGACTCAGCCGGGCGGGCTGCGCGGCGCTGCGCGGGGCGCGCGGCGGGACCCGGCCACCACCTCCCTGGGCGCCCCGCTTTGCCCTCGATCGGAGCGGCGCGGGGCCGCGAAGCCGGAGCCATGCAGTCGGAATCGGGGATCGTGCCGGATTTCGAAGTCGGGGAGGAGTTTCACGAAGAGCCCAAAACCTACTACGAACTCAAAAGTCAGCCCCTGAAGAGCAGGTGAGGGTGACAGCTGGACGGGGCGCGGTGGCGGCCGGGGCCGCGCCTCCACCCGGGGCGAGGAGGGCTGGCTCCCGCGTTTGGGACAAGGACCCCGTGCCCTTGCGCGGTCTGCCCCGCGGGCTGCGGGAGCTGCGGACGGCGCACATTCGGAGTGGGAGGGAGCGCCCGGGGCCGGGCCGCTGTCGGGGCGCGGGGACCCTGCTTGGAGGTGCGCGGCGGGGACTGGTGGGGGCTGGGGAGCGCCCGGCGCCGGGTGGGGGAGGAGCGCCGGCGGGATCGCTGACCAGGTGCGATGGGGGACAGTTTTGACTGCGCCACTTTTCTCAAGATCCCAATGGGATCGGAGAGGGAAAGCTGGGGTGGCCGGTGAGCGACGTTCCACGGAGGCCATCAGCTCGCCTGCAGCCTCCTCTTAGAAGTCCTGCCCCTTTGGGAACACCGGCCTCTGGCGGACTCCAAGTGCGGTCCCCGCCCGCCGCTCACCTGCTGTCGCTGCACGCGCGGGCGGGAGGGGCGGGGCGTGTCCCCTGGCCAGGTGCAGCTGGGGCCGGGTCCGCCGACCGGGTCTCCTGGGGCGGGGGCGGGCAGCTGCGCGGTGGGGGCCGTTTACGCGAGTGGGTTCCACACTGGCCGCGGCGAGTGGTTTTTTGGCTGAGGACTTCCGAAACTTCGGGAGAGGCGCGCAGCCGCTCCCCATCCGGCCCACCGCCCAGCGCCCACCCCTGGCTGCCTCCATCCCCACTAGTCTGGCGGAGTTGGGGCTCTTCCGTTCTCTCCCTACTGTGGACACTCGGGAGGCCTCTCGCTTCTCGTTTCGAGTGTTCCCTAAGAGCTGGTGATCACTTGAGGCTGTGACAGCGGATGGTTTATTTCTAGTCCTCTCCGTTGTGGGATAGATAAGGCTGTGACTGCGAGCCATCAGGTCACAGTACAGCGCCCTCTGAGTCTGCCCTGCCCCTGAGGATGACTGGGGCCTGGGTGAGGGGGCCCAGATGACAGAGGCAATGAAGGGCAGTGGAGTCAGCGTGAGGTGGACCAAGGCTGCTTATGAAGAGAGCCTCATGGAGAGGGGAGCCAGGTGCCATTCCTTCAGGGGGTGGCAGGACAGTCCACTTAGGGGAAGGGGATCTGGGAGGACGGGCAGCTGCCCTTGCAGAGACAGCCTGCTTGCAGATGCTTAATGCAAATTGGAAGGAGGTCTCCTGTGCAGTTAGAGGCATGAAGCAGCCTTCAGTTGGTGGATTCTCTGCATAATGGCTATTTTGTGTGGGAGCTTAGATTGTGTGTGTTGGGGGCTGGGGGCTTTGCATAATATTGTGTAAGGGGTATTGTTGGTCATTCTCATTGGGGCTTTATCTGCATTCGCTGAAGGGACCAGTGTTTTACTGAGCGGTCATGCTTACATGGCCAGAATGAGGGAGCGGGCGTGTGTGAGTCCTGAAAGACAGGAATTGGCCGGACTGTTGGGAACATTTTTGATGGTAGCTGATACATAACATTAAATGAGTTCGAGGGAGTGAGGAAAATACCATCTGGAAAAACCCAGATGAGTGCCCGGAATGCTCCCCTTTAAGAATTTGGGCCTGTTCTTTCTTAGAGTCAGCAAAAATTCCTTGCCAGGGTGCACATTCTTGGTAGCTGGCTACCCTGCACGCGTGAGGAGAGGTGTGGGGACGTGGGAAGTAGCGGGTTCGCACATCACTGATGGAAACAGGTGTGGGACACAACGGTATGGAGAAGGAGGACTAAATTAAAAAGGTTGTTGGAAAACTTATCTGGGGAGCAGACACATGCTTCTAAATAAGCCGGTTAAATAAAATCTGTGAATAAATGCGCAGAGTTGGCCGCTTTTCCTGGCACCGTCTCCGCATCTGTTGCGCGACTGGAACACCTACGCATTCCGATGGGCCCTCCCTTGTTCTTTGCCTTACCTCTCTGCTAGGGCACCTGGCTGCTGCTATGTCCTGGCTGGACAAGCTACAGTTCGAGGGTTAAGACTGCTGTGGCTGGATCATCTGCCCATCGTGTTCTCCAGATGGTCCCTTGGAGTTGACGATCAGTCTAGAATCTGTCCAACAGGTGGACCCACCGCCACCAGCCCCTGCCTGGGTCACTGCAGAGGTCTGGCAGGTCACCTGCCTTCCGTGTTACACTTTCAGTGATTTTTTTTTTTTTTTTTAGCAGTCACAATGTCACTGTTAAAACCAATTTTCAACCAGGGATGAGTCTAACCCCTACCTCCAGGGAGCAGTTGTTGGCCTCTGGAGACATCTGGGATGGTCACAGTGGAAGGGGGTTGTTATTGGCCTTTAGCAGGCAGGGATGGCACTGCTGTTATCCATTCTGTGTGCACAGGACGGCCATCCCACAAGGACATATCATCTGGCCCCCAAATGTTGATAAAACTGAGGTGGAGAAATCCTGGGTCCAAACTCAAGTCTGACCTTGTCATTCTCTGCTCAAAACTTGCCACCATGGTTCCTAGATTTTTCTCAGTAAAGTCAAAGTCTTTAAAATTCCATAGGGTGGCCTACATGGTCAGGCTGCCTGTCCACCCTGACCTTCTGTCTTGCTGCTCTCTTGGGGCTCCTCATCTTCCACCATTCTGGCCTTCAGGCTCTTCCTGGGGCACTCCAGGGCCTTCCTGTATCACGCTTGCCTTTGCCTGGACGGTCTTTGTCCAAGCCTCACTCCCCCCAGCCTCAGACACCCCCACGTTCCCATCACACCGAGGGTGTGGCCTTCTGGGCCCACAGAGCTCACAATGCCATCCCTCTCAACTCAGTCTCCCCGCCCTCTGTTTTTTCCATCTATTTGTAACCTACTGTATAATTTTCCAATAAGTAATGTTTATTATTTGTCTCCACGCTAGACCGCAAGCTTCAAGGAGCAGGATTTCTCTCTTCCTGTCTGATTGTTGGGTTTTCTCAGGGCCCAGAATGATTTCAAGGGCTCAGTGCTCTTGATATTTTGGGCCCAATCACTCTTTTGTGGTGAGGGCTGTCCTGTGGACTGCTTGGCGCTCAGTGACATCTTTGGCTTCCTCCTGTTGGAGGCCAGCAGTGCCTCCTCCGCCAGATGTGACAACCAAAAATGACTGCAGAGTGGCCCATGGTGGGCAAAGTCACCTCCACTTTAGAACTGCTGATATAGGATAATACCTGGCAATGAATATTGTTGAGTGTACATGGCCTTCCTTGGTATCCCCCTTGGGGCAAGGTATTTGGTTTCTGTTTTTGCATTCAACAGGGTGTTCTTTTTTAAAAAAAGATGCCACCAAAGCATGCTCCAAAGAGGAACTATGTGTTCTTCACTGAGGCTAAGTGAAGACATTCTCATCTATCAAGAGGAGAGACACAGATCATTCCTAATTCAGACCTCTTTGAATTTAGAAATGAGAGGTTGTTGGGTTTAGGTTCTCAGAACCCCCTTTGGGTCACGTGGATTGGCGGTGCTGAGCTGGAGGGAGACGCTTACTCTGAGGAAGGTTCTAGAGAAGAATCTTTTGCACTTTGGTTCCTCTCACAAGGCAGAGGAGAAATGTCAGAGTGAACCCAGAATTCCCACACTGGCCTAGTCATGCCAGGGACACAACCATGGGGCCATGGTTGAGCTCCCACAAGCAAGAGAACTCTGGGTCTTTGGATGTGCAGCCTCGTCTCCGGGCCCTTCCACTTGATTTTCCTGGTGCAGAGGTCTGTGGCTTTGTAATGGCTAATGCCCTCTTCCTGGGCAGGCTTCAGAATTGGCTTAGTCAAATTCCGGCGTCTTCTTGAGTTGGTAGTACTGTTTTAAACAGCTGTTAATGACCTTCCTGCAAATTATAAGTGGAAAGCAAGTGAGTGTTGGGTTGGTGCTGCCAGGACAGGGTACAGCAGTGGTCCCCAGGTGCTGATTCACGGAGCGGTAGGTGCTGTTTGCATGAGGGACAGGTCACAGACGTATTTGGGCAGAAGGCCACTACCCTTCATTGGGTTCATGCTGAGGTTTCCCTTTCTGTGTTCACATTGAAAAGGCCCTTTTATGAAATAATGATCCAGTCTTGGAAAAACACAACTTCACTTTCAGTCTTTTATTGGTTGCTGAAAGTTTTCTTGATTTTTTTTTTTTTTCCTGGTCTGCCTATCTGCAGGGAACTGTCATCAGGGAGATCAGAAGCTGAGTTCCGGCTGTCTCTGCCTGTCCAGTCAGGCAGGGGGGTGACCTTTAATCTCAGCATCCTCATCTGGCAAATGGGGGTCTGCTTCTTCAGCGATCTCAAGAGCAATACTATGACTTTCACAATTTGGGGAAATTATTACCTACCCAGGTGCCCGGCACATAGTCAGTGCTCAGAAAACATTAGCAGATGTGTTTTTTTTTTTTTTTAATTACTTAGTGAGCTCCAACATTTTGGACTGTGTTTGTATTTGGTTGACTGTGGCTAGCTTCTCTAAGGCCAGTGTGGTTATGCAATAAAATCCCCTCAATCTCAGCAAATTTATGTTTTTGCTTTCCTTCTAATGAAGTTTTCAGATAATTTTTTTTCACATTTTATAATTTTTACCCAGTCCATAACAATTCCTTTATGCTGGTTAAAAAGAAAAAAGAAAACCTGACAATTATGATATGAACACACAATTCATATTCAGCACATAACTTTTCGAGTCCTAGCTCATGGAAATTAATACAAATAATGATGACTAACATTTATTTAGTAGGCTTTGTGTGCCAGGCCCTGTTCTGTTTTTAATTACATAAAACATATTAGTGTTTGCAAAACTTGCATGAGGTGCTAATAGGAAACAAAAACAAGGGTACTAATTTTAATTTTAGAAGTGGGTAACACTTACCTGGCACTTACCACGCGCTGGGCGATATTCTGAATATTTGACTTGTTTAAATATTGTTCAGTTAATTCTCACTTTTGGGCATGTCTTCTGATCATCCCTATTAAGCTCACTGAGAGAGGAACCGAGGTTCCAAGTTCTTGGACCAGGGTGGAACTGAGGCGCACT